AAAAAAAAAAAAAAAAAAAAAAAAGCATAGAGATGCCCTCCTCCACCACCCACCTGTTTCTTTCTCTCTCTAAAAAATAAAAAAGAAAAAAGAAAAAAGCCCTAACTTTCTCTTTCTATCTCTTCATTTTGGTTTCTATAAATAATTGTTTTTTTCTTTTTAATTTTTTCCTACTCATTACTCATTACAGCCTTATCTCCAAAAGTCAGCGACCTCTTTTGTCTGCTTTCTTTTTCTCTCTCAACAAAACTGAACAAGAAGCTGAGAGAAACGTACAGATTTTTTCAGAGCTCAGTTTTTGTCTATGGAAATGGAAGTTGATTGGGATCTTCACGCCGTCGTTAGAGGCTACTCCGCCATGACCTCCGCCGCTGTTCCTTCTTCCGACTCTTACTCTGTTCCTTCCAATTCCAATAACTCTGTTCCTATGGCGTTTGGCAGAGACCAAACGAACCGTATGTTGTCGCTTCAAGATCCGTTTGATGGGTCCAATTGTAATTCTACTGAGGAATTGCAGGAGTTTTTCAACCCCTTTTTACCTAAATCTCAACGCTCACCACCACTGCCGCCGCCTGCTCCGCCGCTTCTTTCTTCTCCGGCGGTCAAAATTCTGACCCATCAGAAGCAACTACAGAACACCCATCTCCCTAAACAGCTCCATTCAACCTCCGTTTCTGCTCCGAGATCCAAACGCCGGTGAGTGAACTTTCATCATGCCTTGATTCTGAAAAGTGCTTTTTTTTTTTTTGAAGCTAATCGATTTCTGTGTGTTCCTCTGTTTTGCTCTGTTTTAGGAAGAACCAGTTGAAGAAAGTCTGTCAAGTTCCGGCGGAGGCTCTGTCCTCGGACATTTGGGCTTGGAGAAAATATGGACAAAAACCCATCAAGGGATCTCCATATCCAAGGTTCGAACTCGATTTCAAATTTTGAAGCTAAGGTTTTGATTTTGGAGTAAAGGGTATTGATTTGATTTAGTTGATGATGAAAAAAACAGGGGATATTACAGATGTAGCAGTTCAAAGGGTTGCATGGCCCGGAAACAAGTGGAGAGGAACAGATCCGATCCGGGAATGTTCATAGTTACTTACACGGCGGAGCACAACCACCCGGCGCCAACTCATCGGAATTCCCTCGCCGGCTCCACCCGTCAGAAGCCCAACACGCCGACACCCACCGACGCCGGATCGGAAAAACCCGACGCGAAACAGCTCGTTTGCTCGTCCGAAGATCTGAGTACGATCATGGAGAGCAAAGAAGAAGAGAAAGAGGAATCATTGGCGGAAGACGAAGAAGACAACGATCTGGGGGACTCTGATTTAATCGTCAACGACGATTTCTACGTGGGGTTTGAAGAACTCGACAGTCCTAACGCCGACGACTGCTTTTCCGATGATTTTCC